TAAATTATATTATACGCAGTGTTGCCAGATTTGCTTCAACTATAAATTTCAGAAAAAACAGCAACCTTCAAAAACAAGGAGACTCTTAAAAAAATTAAGATTTTTAAATTTTATTAAACATAACATTATTGTTATATTCAAATTGATTGTGGAAAGTATTTTTTTCACATTTGCCATGAAAATTGACAGAAATAAAAAAATAATTATCAACAATGATAAGTTTCTCTTTAGACGGATTCATCGCTTTAGTTCTGAACTGTTTCTTTCACAGAGAGAGAAACATAACAACAACCACATGGAAGAAAAGTGAAAACGGTGAATACGCCTACTATGTAAAAAATCATGATTCAATAATTAAAAGTTGTGTAAGTGCGACTCTGTCTGGCTTTAATTTCATCATCTACGCTCCCACCTTACCCCTAACAACATTTTTAAATACACTTTTAGGGCCGTTTTCTGAAGTAACCTTTAGCTTTAAAGCGCACTTTATATTTAAAGGTTGGATTAAAAACAAAAATATGTCTAAAGTTAAGCATTTATATTGTCGGTTTTGACGTATGTGTGTTTCTTGGTTGTAAACCAACTTAAAACCAGTAATAAAATGCTTTACTTTAGGCACAATCATAAATTTTAATGCAGTTACAGGTTATTTGAGAAAAGGGCCCTTAGTAGTGAACTTTTTAAAATCTTAAGAAATTTTTGTTCTTCATTTGCTGGCGAATACAATGCTCCAGTTGGATGGTGAGTCTGTATAGTATAGCATATCAATTGGTGTGTATCCTTGGTCCACAGACATTCACGGCACTTATCACTTCACGATGTAGATCGCAGGGTTCGAACCCAGGGCCCGGACTGGTAATAGGCACCTCTAACCTTTCAACCACAGCGGCCAATGTATACATAGTTTACTTTTATAATAAATTTTATTAAATTCGTTATTTTCTCTTCAAAGTATTCTTGTAAGTGTAAATCTGTTAAATTTGATGACCATATCAATGACCATAGCTTCTATTTTCAGTTACGCCGGAACACAAATTTAGAGGGAAAATATGTACATTAATTAATTAAAGCTCATATTTCCACTTGACCTGAAAGTAGCTCTTAAAACTAATGAGGTTATAACTAAAACAATTTAGCGCTTTAACAACTGCCTGCAAGAAGCTGCAACTAAACTAAACTAAAACCTTATAAAATCTTATAAGCTCCTATCTTATAGAGCTTATAAAGAATATTAGTACAAAGATCCCAAAGGCCTTTTTTAGTACAACGGTAACTTAAATTAAGATAAGAATAAGATTTGAGAATAAAAGGTACGTAGCACATCATGTCAAACAAAGCCTGACAAATAGCATTAGGCAAAATTTACACATCTATATAAAGCCAAAAGAAAAAAAAAATGCGTGTGTAACACCGTACACATGATAGAAGTGAAACTTCTTAAAAAAGTATCAGGTACCTACTCACAAAATTTGATGCATAAACATATGTTTACGGTTCGGCAAACCATTAGGCGATAGAGTTACATACATAGGTTTGGTTAGAAATCAAACAATAATTTCATTTCATCTTATTAATTTTCTGATATACATATAATTTATTTATTCATTTTCCGGTAACACCACCTTATATGAATTCGCGCTTCCAGCATCCATAGGACCGGGTTGTAATGGAAGTAATTGTATATTTAACAAATAAATGAAAATGTTTATAATGCAATCAATAGAACCTTACGAATTCAACATTACCAAGGCACTAAGTAACGTACGCACTTTTGTTTGCAAAATGCATTTATTTAAGTTGAAAGAAGACAAATTCCTTTGTTCGGCATTTATTCTTACTCGCTTTCTATCTTCCAAGGCGAATTCATATATTCTTGTCACGAATGCATACATATATTCATGTGGTAGCAAGAGTGTAAAAACATAAAATTACCTTATAAATTAAAAGCATAAGTATCACATGTATTCGTAGTCCAATTCACGATCTGAGTAAAACTAAGTGCATAAACTCTGTTTCGCGTTAATTGTAATCATGAAATGGTGTTCATTCATTCAGTTTCTACTCAAACGCATGACATGATTCCATGAATTGGCCTACGCATAATGGTAGTAAATGACAGAATGAATTACAACAAACACATCCTTTTGACATAATGCAAGCTAAAACGTTTGTTCAAATCAATCCGCAATCAAGTTGGACGTTTTGCCCACAAACATTGCAATTTTGCGAGCAGTCTCATTTTTACAATTTCATAGTTTCGGCTTACATTTATAAAATTCAACGAAAGCACGTAGCTATTTCGGCTGAGTTATCCATTTTCGGTTATTTAGTGTACAAAATAAACAGAAATTAAATGAGTTTGTACAACATGGCCATTAATGTAGCGATAAGTTGTACAATTTGCCAGAAAATCCAAAATTTTTGATCCTTCATACAACCAAGACATAAATTCATTCAACATGCCCACAAACGGTGTAATCTAGAGCAAAATAACACCAAGTTGAACCAACGGTCGCTACGTTTATGGCTTCTTTAAAAAACATCGGGCGAAAATTTCAACTGCTCCTGTAACACTACCTTATATAAGTTGGCCTTGCTATCATCCGCACATATGTTCATCAGAGTATACCAACGATGGACGAGTTAATCCAAGGAGATAATACCATGTTCTGACCGACATCGAAAACATGTTTTCGTTGCTAAAACTGGTTTTCGACTTAAAACTTGTGTTTTCGTCCATGTAAAATCTGTCAAACGAAAACCAGCAGCCGGATTCCAGCTTTCGCTATCGCTAAAACTCTACAAATCTCCAAAAATCCAAACGCTAAAAATTATCCGAACTTTAGGCGATTTTTCTTAAATACGATTCCGGCTGGTTCATCTCTAAAAATCTCCAAGGAAAATTGTAATACTTTTATCCGCCGCAGGTGTCGCTGGTGTAGTTGAAGAGAAATGTCAAATTTTGTTTACTTTTATGGCCCACGGGAATTTAGTTGAAGTTTGTAATTTTGATATAATTTGCTCTGAATCAGAAATTAAAAGCCGCAATCTCGGTCTATTTCATTATAATATTAAGAAAGAGTGTTGTGATAATAAATACGTGGTGAAGATGAGTGAGTTGCGAAGATATTTGTTTCGTATCTCAGTGAACTCTCAGCGAGCTTTAAGGAACCGTTTGCGAAGCAAAAGAAAATTGTTGCGGGAATCCACGGATCCCTTCTGTATTTCAGAGGAACGGTTCACTGAAATTTTTCGACTTCCAAAAGAAATATGTAGAAATGTTTTTAATGAAATCCGCCCCTTTATGTTGCAAAGGACATCTAGTTGTGGATTGTCGAAAGTTTTAAGGTTCCTTGTAGCATTGCGATTTTTCGCTCAAGGTATGTACATATATACATATATATATATTCAATGTTGTATTAATTGAATTTATACTTTTTCAGGAAGCTATCAACGTTCGGTGGGACAAGACTTCTTACTTAATGTATCCCAAAGCAGCGTCAGTAGATGCATTAGAGAAATTGCCAGTATCATGGACAAATACTTGTTAACTAGATACATTAAGTTTCCATCAACAGTTGAAGAAAAACAGGCTGAAAAGAAAAGTACTTATACTAAATTAAAAGTAATATTACTTAAGATAAGTTTATGATTCTTTATTTTAGATTTTATCAAGAGTTCAGATTCCCTGGGGTCATAGGAGCCATTGACGGATCGCATATTAAATTAAAGACTCCATCCAAAGACATTGAACATGTATATGTTTGCCGAAAAGGAGGACACTCAATAAATGTGCAAGTGGTATGTTCTATTCATTTACATATTTACAAATGTATATACATATACGTAACATTGTATGTACATACATTATTTCATCACTTGAAGGTATGTGACATGGATTTAAGAATACTTGACTGTAATGCTCGTTTCGGCGGAACTGCTCACGATGCATCAGTTTGGAGAGCAAGTGCTTTGAAGGTTTTTCTTGACAATATGTACTCCAATGGAGAACGAAATTTTTGGCTTTTAGTTATATTTTACTCAATTTGTATACATACATATGTATATTATTTATGTAGCATAATTTTCCTTTTCACATGTTTAGGTGACAGTGGATATCCTCAATTACCTTATTTAATGACTCCTATTCCGGGAAACAATCTCTCAGATTCTGAACATAATTACAACAGACATCACCGGAAAGCAAGAAACTGTGTAGAACGCTGCTTTGGAGTGCTGAAATCTAGATTTCGATGCCTGTCGAAATATAGAGTGCTTATATGACCCAGTTTTAGCCGGAAAAATTATAAATGCTTGTATAATTTTGCACAATATCATGATATTAAATAATATAAGGTATGAAATTGAGGATGATTATAACATAAGTTTTGATGGAGAGTTTAATTTAGTTGATGAAATAACTAGTACGCATCATGGTATTGCTGCAAGACAACAAATTGTAAATAACTATTTTAATTACTGAGATTTGTGGTTTGCTCACATTTACATGCATGTACAATGTATGTATTTGTGATGAGCTTATTCAGTTAGTTACATGTTTACCAGTTTTGTTTATTAAGTGTAGCGCCTTACATAACCAGCATCGTATAAATCCATATTTCATACTTTGTACAAAAATTAAAAAAACCAAAGAGATTTACCAATTTCCCAAAATATTTAAAACTTTGCATTGATGTTAAATATTTTTTT